GCCTGCAGGGGCTGTTGCTCTGAGCACGAACGAGATGCTGGTTAACGCCTGCAAAACGCGACAGCACCGCTGCTGTTCGTATGTGGCCGATGGCATCCTAGGTTAGGTTTGTGCTCGTCCCAGATTGGTACAAAACTTCAGGGATGCACCTGGGCCCAGGAAATTCTTGGACATTTCTGGCACGTCTACCTAACTTGATTTTGTGGGGAGAGTGAAGCGTGAAGCAAACATTGACTGACAGGTGGTAACATCACATCTTCAAAAAATCCTAGCTTTCCAGGGAGCAACGTGAGCCCAAAGATCAGAAAACAGAATTATTCAACTTGTTACCGTTTCTTACTGATGATTATCCGTTTCCTTCTCAGTCACCTCCTCAACCACCGGGACTGAGCCCATAAAAGGATTTAAATTCCGGAAGTATCTCCCATGTTCCTATTTTAGGCCTCATGAAAACATCGATCCACCTTTTTCAGCCTAGTCTAAAACTGTAATTGCTCCTCGTTGCATTCTTGTTTCATTTCATGCTTCCTCTTGACTGAAGTGAATTTGTTGTCAGATGCCTCCCTAAATGGGCCTCTTAGGCCTGCCACAGAGACACCAACTCTGTATTTGCAGGTTCCCAGCTCTAAATCAGCAAAGATTTAAGAAATAATAAGACTGTAAGAAGCTTACAACCAAGTTTTTCTTCCCACACAAACAGTTCTGACACCCTGAATTGTGCCTGCTATTTCCTGAAATTAGTGTAACTGCGTAACTGTAATGCTACATGTTAGGAAGGCAGCTGAAGTCAGACCTCCTGCACAGTGTGTAAGAAACAAGGACTAAACAAATGGATTATACGTTATGTATGTCCCACATCTGAAAATGAACTTCACAGAAAATATGCACTAAATGATATATGATAGTGGGGAAGGAAACACCAGCTGCCTTAATGAATGGTGGTGGGCAGATCTGGAAAAAAAAATTATAATAATAATCTCTTATTATATTCCCTTTGACATAAACTAACCTTGACCCAGAACAATAGTGCTACTCTCCAGGAGAAAATAACAGCAGCTGTAATTACGATACAGGAGACCAGTGCAAGCCAGTTTCTATTTTATCTTTGTTGTTAAAATTCTGCTTAATCTGGTCATCTGGCCAGAGACTTACTTTCGAACTGATGGGGAATTTCATCCCTTTCAGTGGAGATGGCTCAAGGGTTAAGTCTGCTTTTCGGCTCTGAAGATGCATGTGTTATTACTTTTGCCAGGGCTCTGAGAGGCTTGCTTGCTTGCCTTTGCATTGCACAGCTCTGCAATGGGGATGGATAAAGAAAAGCCAAATAGAAATCACTGGGGAACATCCTCAGCAGATGAGTGAGGAGGATTCCCCCCCCTCCCCCCCC